TTGTACTTGCCCCTCAGCCTAATAATATGGTCAATTTTTGCCTATCTTTAAGAAATAAAACAAAGACTATCTTGTGACCCCTTATTGTCCTCTAGATACTACCCTCTCTCTCTTCTTTCATTTAAAGTTAAATTTATTGGGGGAAAATGGGGAAATTTCCATTTCCTCTTCAGGTCACTGCAATCTAGCTTTCATCTTGCTCTCCACTGAAGCTGCTTTCCCTTAGATTCCCATGACCAACATGTTCCTAAATGTAGCATTTTCTAAATCCTCTCTTACTTAACCTCTGGGCAGACTTTATGCAACTTGGTCACTACCTTCTTTTTTTTTTTTTTTTTTAAAGATTTTATTTATTTATTTGAGAGAGAGAGAGAGAATGAGAGATAGAGAGCATGAGAGGGAAGAGGGTCAGAGGGAGAAACAGACTCCCTGCTGAGCAGGGAGCCCGACATGGGACTCGATCCCCGGACTCCAGGATCATGACCTGAGCTGAAGGCAGTCGCTTAACCAACTGAGCCACCCAGGCGCCCTGGTCACTACCTTCTTAAAACATTTTTCCTCTTGGTTTTCCAAGGGTCTCCCCTGGATGTTCCTCCTTGGTTTTCTTTTGCTTTCCTGAATTGTACTCCCGTATATTATTGTGCGCAGGCTGTGACCTTGGCCTCTCTTCATTCCTTCCCATAGCTTCACTTCTACCTTAATTTAAGACTGATAATTACCAAAATGTTGTCTCCATCCCAGACATCTTTGTAAGCTTCAAAGTCACTAGCTTCCTGTAAATAACTATCCCACAGATCCTGAAATGTAATATGTAGAAACTTGATTCACCAACCTCTTCCTCAAATCTGCCTCTCCCCCTATGTTCCCATCTCAGTGAATCCACCCAGTTGAATATCCTCAACCCCTAAACTGTTCCTCAGTCCCCACAATCATTCACTGAGTTAGACACACTCTACTTCTTTGAAATCTCTCAAGTTCATCTTCTTTTCCCCACCCTTTTTGCCCTTCTTAGCTCAGGCTCACATCACCGTTGACCGGGATTGCTCCAACCAGCCTCCAAAGTGTTCTCTTGGCTTTCAGTCTTTCCCACCTGCAATCCATTTCCAAAACTTCTCTTTGTAATCTGGCTCCTGCCTCTCTCTCCAGACTTACCTCCTGCTACTTCCTCTCTGAGCCCTCAATCTTATACACTCTAGCCATATTGAATGGCATACATTTCTTTAAATGGGCCACACTTTTGTACTTCACATTGTCCCCTTGGTCTGAAATGACCCCCTTCCATGTCCTTTGCCATGCAAACTTCTTCTGTTCTTCTGGACTCGGCTCAGTATTGCCGCTCTAGTGGAGTCTTCCATAGGATTTCTCTAACCTTCCTGCGGGATCCTTGCCAGTCTGTATTTACTTTTATTATTGTAATTTTGCTCTCTGAGCTGTGACTGTTACCTTAGATGGCAAAAGAGACTTTGCAGATGGGATTAAGTTAAGGATTTTGAGATGGGGCGGTTATCCTGGATGACCTGGGCAGGCCCTACATGTAGTCCTAAATTTCCTTAAAAGGGGGAGATTTGACACAAAAGATGGAGAAAGGGGCCACTGGCTAAGGAATGCTACTCTAAAAGATGGAAAAGGTAAGGAAACCGATTCCCCCTCTAGAACCTCCAGAGGGAGTTCAGCCTTGCTGACACCTTGATTTCAGCCCAGTGAAATTTATTTCAGACTTCTGATCTCCGTAACTATGAAGAATAAAAATGTGTATTTTTTAAGACTTTATTTATTCATTTGAGAGAGAGAGCAAGAGTTGGGGGGGGGAGGCAGAGGGAGAAGAAGACTCCCCGCCGAGTAGGGAGTCTGATGAGGGCTCCATCCCAGGACCCTGAGATCATGACCTGAGCTCAAGGCAGATGCTTAACTGACTGAGCCACCCAGGCACCTGTAAATGTGTATTGTTTAAAGCTATCAAGTTTGTGTTCATTTGTTACAGCAGCAATAGAAAACTAATATCCTGGGGCATGCAGGACCCTTCATGCCTTAGAGGGTCCTGCTCTAGGACTCTTCCAGCTGTGTTCCTTCTCTTGGGGTGAATCTATGTCCCCACATCTAGGCCAGGCATGAGGCATCCAGCCCAGAATTCTTTACTCAAGAAATTTTTACTCAAGGTCTATTTCCAGGCCTAAATATTTCTTTCCCCAAGTTTGCCCTTTTGAGACAGACTGCTGGTGGGCTCATGCCTGGATCTGAAAGGTATTCAAGGGAGCAACTGTTTGTGGAGGTGAGCCACTCTGTAGACAGTAGAATGAAGGGCACAAGGATGGAAGCTAGGAGACCAGAGGAAGGCTTCCATAGTAATTCAGGCAAGAGATGATGATAGTGGTGGAGATGGTAAGAAAAGGCTGGACTCTAGATATATTTTGGAAAGTAAAGATAATAGGCTCTGCTGCTACATTGACTAGGAGGCATGAGAGAAAGAGAACGGTAAGTGTGATTCCAAGGTTTCTGGCCTGAACACCTGGAAAGATGACATTGCCATTAACCTAGACAGTAAGAAAGGGAAAAAGAGCAGGTTCTTGGGGTAAAGATCAGTGGCCCAATTTTAAATGTAGGATATTTTGGATGCCCATTACACAGCAAAGTGGGTAGTCAATTCCATGTTTAAGTGAATCTTGCCCTTCTTAAAGACTCTTCCAGCAACTAGCACAGGGTCTTGAAATAGGAGATTGTTAATATTTGATAAGTCAGATGAATATGTGACATTCCTCCATAGAAGTATTTCAAGATCTATTCACACTTTTATATCCTCACATAGTCAAGTTGGTTAATTTGAATCCTATTGACATTACACAGCTTTGCCAACTGCGTAAGTCAGGATATTAACAACCTGATTGTTTAGTATCTTCTTGTTCTTGGCTCTCTCAAACATTTTGATTAGGACTAGGGCTGAAGTTGAATATTAATACCAAATGGATTAAAGTCAGATCCATGGTCCCTGTCTTATTATCCCAGTGTTGAACTTTCTTAATTCACTGATAGCAAGGAATTTTTCTCTGTAATTATAAAATGTATAATAATATTGACTTCTTTGTTCCATCTCTGAAATTCTATTGTTTTTCTCCACCACGTGTTTGGAAATGTTTACAGCCAGAGCTTTTGTTATTTCAGTATGCTTGAATGCATTCTGGATACTAATAGTGCCTGAAAGTGTCTGATGATGCTGAATAGTCTATGAAGGTTAGTTCTTTAGAAAACGTTAATTTGATGAATGAGCAATAATGCTGATCTTCCTGGCTCTAAATTTACAGACACTATAAAACCATTTGTCTGTAAAACTTAGCATATTTCATAGTGTTAAAAAGGTCAAATCTCTGTTGCAAGATGTTGGAGACTAGGTTGTTCATGCACATTCTTTTGTATCTTCTGTAATTAAGCTATTTTCCCCCTTTACTCTCCTGAAGTTTCTCTTGTCAAGTTCACCAATGATATTGATATTAAAAAATCTATAGTCATTATTTTTAATCCTTATTTTACTTATCTTCTCAGCAACATTTGGCACAGTTGACTGCTTCATCCTTAAGCACCTTTTCTTCTTTATTTTGGATCGTTGTGCTCTCTTGGTGCAATGGTTAATTTTGTGTCAACATGACTAAACCACAGGATGCACAGACATTTGGTCAAGCCTTATTCCTGAGTTGTTTTTGGATGGGATTAACATTTGCTGGTAGAATGAATAAACAGATTGCCTTCACTAATGTAGGTAGGCCTCATCCAATCAACTGAAGGCCAGAAAAGAATAAAAGGGCTAAGTAAGAGGGAATTTCTGTTGCCTGAATGTCTTGAGCTGGAGCATTGGTCTTTTCCTGCATTTGGTATCAAATTGAAGCATCAATTCTTCTTGGGTCTTGAGCCCATGGGCTCTCCTGGTTCTCAGGCCTTTGGAGACAGACTGGAACAATACCATCAGCTTTCTTGTGTCTCTGGCTTTTTGACTACAGATCTTGGGACTTCTCAACCTCCAAAATTGCATGAGCCAACTCTTTGTAATAAATCTCTTTCTCTATGTGTGTGTGTTTATTTGCCGTAGGTCATCTCCTTCACTAGAATGTAACACTATGAGCACAGAAACTTTTTGTCTATTTTGTTCACTTCTGTATTACCAGCCTTGGAATTGTGTCTAGCAAACAGTAGGCACTCAACAAATATTTGTGGACTGTAGGAAAAAAAATTGCTTGTGGGATTTTCCTAAGGCCTAAGATCAATCACAACTTGTGCTTGTGTGCATATTTCTTCACAGATGCTCAGAGCATGTCCACATATGTTATCTTATTTATCCTCACATCATCCCGTAAGAAGGGGAGGAGGGGAACCATTTAACTATAACTCATATCCGCTGATGGAATTGGAATGTTTAGTCCTTGGGAATCTTAATGCCCTGTGTTTTGAAGATACGAGCACCTCAAAAGGGCTGCGGGACATACCTTCACTTACCTCATGAACACAATGTATCTTAGAATCCTGTCTTTGAAGAATTTATTTTATTTTATAAGGCTGTGCATTTTGCTACAAGAATTGGCCAGCAAGAATATACTCAGTCAATATGAATTTTAAACATTTAAAATTCTTTCCAGACTGGAAAAGCTACAACTAAAAGTTGTGGTTTCAGAACTCATAAGTGCACTCATGTGGTAAGAGGAAGGAATGGTTTCAGATATCCTCCGGAGTTTGTCTTCTGAACCCAGAAACCAAGGAGTAGATTAATTTGCACAGATAATACCAGTAACCCCTTAGTGTCCTATGAATACTGTTAATGTGACTATCTTACTCCCTCTCAGCCCCCCGCCTCAAATGTGTATTAGGTATTTCGGTGACAATTTATGAACAACGTGCAAATGCATATGGTTTTCTACATTAAGATTTCATTGGAGGGAGATGATACATAATGAACTTTTTAAGTAAAAGTACTAATATTCCAGCTCTTAAATAGTAATCAGGTAGTCACATGCCCCAAATTACATTTTTATTATGTGTTTACTTGTGTACAAAATATGTTGTAATTTACTGATGCATGTGCAGCAAAATATACTATCACATACAACAAAAATACACCTTTTATTCTTCTTCCCCTGCCCCTGAAAATGGCAACACTGTTTTGGCAGTTCAGCAGCTAAAAATAAAGTGCTATAATTAAGCAGTATTGGAATGTCTTCACTTGACAATGTGATGTACAATTTGAGTATACAACCACATCTTTGTTAGTTTTTTCACAGAACAGGAAATCCCACAGCCTGACCTGAACACCTCCAGAAGATACAAAGATTTGTATATATATGTACACATGTATACACTGTATATGTAAAGTGCCAAAGAGCCTCTTCGTCTTTTGAGTTTGATGTATTTATGTTTATTCTTGCTTTCTTTCTTTCCAAAGTCAGAATCACACTACTGGGATCTCTGAGTTCAGCAGCAGGCACCGAGAAGCTCACTAAAGGCTGGCTTGTTGTGGGTGTGGTGTTGGTGAGAGGCCGGAGGGAGCCTTCAGACCTCACTGGGGGACCTAGAACGGAAGGGCACTTTGGACTGGAAACAGCCACAGAACAGGAGCCACAGGGCACGCTGAATCTCCTGGTTGCGGAAGGCATAGATGATAGGATTGATCATGGAGTTGTAGGTGGCGGGCAGCAGGGTGGCGTAGGTATAGACTGCCGGGTCCTCGCGGCTGCCTACCACGCAGTAGATGGCGAAGGGCAGCCAACTGGCGCCAAAAGTGCCCAGCACCACAGCCAGGGTACCCACACCCTTTCTGGTGGCTGCGAGGTGGGGCGGCGCCAGGCAGTGCTGCTGCAGAGCGATCTGGTGTGCGTGGCGCCAGACCACCTGGCAGATGCGCACGTACAGGTGCAGCATGATGCCAAAGACCGCAAAGAACGCGGCGGAGAGCAGCGCCACGTGGCTGCGTGTCAGCGGGCGCACCACGCTGCAGGTGGCGCGCTCTGCTAGGCAGTTCCAGCCGAGCACCGGCAGCAACCCGAGGCCTAGGGACACCGTCCAGGTGGCGGCGAGCAGGAAGTGCACTCCCAGCAGGGTCCGGCGCGAGTAGTAGGTGAGCGCGTTGTAGAGAGACAGGTAGCGGTCCACCGTGATGGCCAGCAGGCTGCTGACCGAGGCAGCGAAGGAGGCCACGAGGAAGCCTACCGTGAGCAGGCTCACCGTCTCTGAGGGCACCACGTACTGGAACACGAAGTGAAGGATGAGGCCGCAGCCCGCCAGCAGGTCGGCGGTGGCCAGGCTGCCCACCAGCACGAACATGGGCGTGCGCAGCGCGGGGGTGGACGCGATTAGCGCCACTACCAGCGCGTTTTCGCCTGCGATCACCGTCCCCGACACGCACAGGAGCACGTCCCAAGGATTCACCGCCGAGAGCAGCAGCCCTGGCGGCCCGGCCGGCAGCTGAGAAGACAGCTCCAGGGACACGTTAGCCGCGCCGCCGCCCCCCAGCGCCGCCGCCGCAGGGGGCCCCCATTCACCGCTGTCCCGCGCCCCTGCCGCTGTGGCCGCCGCCGCCGCTCCCTCGGCCGTCACTGCCACCACCTGGGACTCGTTGAGCGAGGAGGCGCTCGCGTTCATCGCGGCCTGTGGCTGCACCCTGCGTGGAAAAGGGAGAGCAAGGGTCAGGTGTGTGGTTCAAGCCTCCAGGGAACTTCCCCGGGTGCCTGGCTCATATTGCTCATCCCACCCCAGGACCCCAGAGCGGAGCGAGGAAACAGTATTGTTTTATTTAATTAATTACCTGTTGAGTGACTGAGCGAACGTGTGAGTGAAATGCACACGAATGCCCGCAGAAATAGAGCTGAGTTTTTGCACAGAAGTGTACACGGATAACATGCATTCGCCTGCACACAGATCAGTCCCGAAAGTGTGCCTGTAATTGCACACGCACCCGTTTGCCCCGAGCTACGGGTATCAGCCTTAGCCCGAGTCCCGCCTGGGCTCCGGCCGAGGGGTTAGGCGTTTTCCTAAACTGGGCGGCGGAGTCGCTGTCCGCGGTGCTGAAAGCGAAGTTTCTGAGGTTGCGGAGTCCAGCGGGCCCTGAAGGCCACAGAGATCCCTGGGAAAGGAGTTTTGGGGAGGGAAGCTGGGTGTCTGTGTATTGGGGGGATGTGGAGCCAAGCGTGGCCCCATTTCTCCGGCTTTAAGGACTCATCCCCTGGCCATCCTTCACCCCTTCCCCACTCCACACCCTCAAAGTTCCTCTCGGGAGCCGGGCTGCTCACCTGGGGAGTCAGGGCTTCAGGAAGTCGCTGATCATGAGCGCTGCGGCAGGGCGCCAGGCTGCGCTCCCCGCGCGGTCTGAGCCTATGCCTGCGGGGAGGTCGGGCCCGCGCGGAGCAGAGCGCCGGGCGCCTGTGGCTGTGCGGGCGCCGCCGAGAGTGACAGACACAGTCAGAGGCAGAAAAGGCGGCTAGGAGCAGCGCGCCCGCTGGAGACTGACAGGCAGGGCGCGGTGACGTCAGGCTCCCGGCTCCTGGGTGCGAGGCGGCACTCACTGTGCTCCACCGCCCATCGCTAACCCCCCACCCCCGTCTCTCCTCCCCCAAAATACGTGTCAGAGGGTTCAAGGAGGGAGGAGAAGCCGGAGCGGCCGCTTCCAGTCCAGAACGTCCAGGAATGGGATGAGGGACCGAGGAGAGGGAGAGAGGAATGAAGTCTTTGAGGAGGGTGAGCTGGGAGGGGAGGGACCAGGTGTGAGCTGCTCGGCCGGGCCGCGTAGCCCACGGTCAAAGGTCACTGAGAAGCTCAGGTCGAAGTACGCGCCCCTGAGAAAGGGGAGGTAAGAGCAGGGAGGTCTGACCACAGAGTTGCTACCTTTAAAAAAGATACAGTACTGTGTTGAGAGCAGGAATGAATGAACTAGGGGGAAAATGAGCTTTCTGAGAGGATGTTTGTGGTACTGGGTGTCAGTTGAATAGAGCCAGAGGAGAAATGTAGAATTGAAGAAAGAGAGAAAAGATGGGAAATTTGAGGAAAACAGCCTTTTTGGAAGTTACCTGTGCAATTCCTCTCTCTCTCTTTCCCTCCGTTCCTTCCTCTCCCACCCACTGTCTTTCTGGAACTCTACACAGCAGGTTTCACCATGATTTCCCAGCTCACTGTTTCTCAATTTCAGTGTGGATAGTGCCCTTGGAACTTGCTCTTCAATTAAATACCAGGTCTGTGTCTTGTTAGAAAAGAAGAAAACAGCAAAATGTGATTTACTTTCCTGGCAACAGACTTTGCCCTGTTAATTAGTACCCTATAAAACAAATTACAGGATGAAAATAGTGATAACTCAGCTGCACCAGACTTCAGTAGGCAGGAGTTTTATTTTCAGCCCAGATAAATCATCCCTTTGGTTTAAAGGTGTTTTGTTTTGTCAGTAAAATACAAGTAGTAGACTTCTTCTTTTATTCAATCAATCAGAATCTCCAATAGTTGTACTTGGGCAAAAGGTGAAATAATTGACTCCTTCGAAGGCTCTAAAATAAATGATTGCATGTTGGCATGATGGCATAATACCGAGGTCACAGCCATGACTTTCAGGGACCACATGCTCTGGGTAAAGTGAAAATAGACAACATTTGCTATTGGTGCTTCCCCTACTTTTCCCTCTTCCCTTTCCTCGCTTCACTTTCCCTCTAGCCCCATGGGCTTTACAAGGAAAAAACAAAACAAACAAAATAAAACTCAGACCGTGTACAGGCTGGGGTGGGAGGTAGAGTTTTACCCTGGCTTTTTCTCTCTAAACATAACCCCCAAGTCCAGACTCCTTCTGGACACGCTGCCTCAATGCAGCTGAACTTGAACTAGAGGGAAAAAAGACAACTATAGCACCATTCAATTCTTTGCTGCAATAGCCAGTGTTGGGCAATAGAATGAGTTTATACACAATTTCTCTACGTTGGAAGTTTATAAAATTCTCCAACCACCATTTTCATGAATCCCCAAACTGACTGAAGTTCTAAGTTTCTGAAAAGAGCCATTTTGAGTTTCAGTAAAAGACTCTCATGTAAAAGCCAAGAATGTTATTTCAGAGCTGTCAAGTGAACAGCCAAACCACTGTAACAACATGTTAATTACAAATTTTCCAGACAATCAGATAAAGGCCCAAGAGGAGGAGAATCCTTCTTAATGTCTATATGTGTTACATTTTTGCATGCCACAATGCAGCAGAAAGTGTGAGATTCAACCTGAACAAAGAGGGTGTTTTGGACACCCTCAGGCTTTCACCATTGCTAATAGTGGAATTTTTGGTGGTTTCAGGAGGAAGATAATACATGTAGAATTATGTACATAGATGCAGGTTGAGGGTTTGTAGGCTGTCTTTTCGTCATGCCAGTCTGTGGTTACCGCTTTCAGATGCTAGGTTGAACCTTGAAAGCAGACAGAACACGTTCTTTCAAGCTCCTCCTTATCTCCCCCATGCCAACTCATCTCCTGGGAGACAGAAGATGGGAAAGAAGAAACGTATGTGGTTCATTAGCTATGAATGAATATTACACATACTTCGTTACCTACTCTCCTAACAGCTCCTCACAAGTATCTGCCCTTCCAGTGGTCTTCTAAAATGTTCAGCCTATGAGCCATATGACATTTTCCACTCCCAGCCCAGCTTATGGGAGGAGATTGACACCTGACCCAAGGCTAAATAAGACCAGCCACCCTTTGCTGAACTGGTGACCAGATTCCTCTTCTTGAAAATTTGAACTAAGACACTTTGTGACTAGGGTCAATCAATGTTGACTTTGGATGTAAAAGATCATTACAGGTTAGGGCTGCAGCGCTCACGTTGAGCCTTGTGTGAAATGAGTGATCAGAGGAAGCCAGGTGCAATGAAAGAATAAAGCAGATGTGCAGAGATGAACAGAGATGAAGATCAAATGACTGAGAGTTGGAGGGGTTGACTTTAGTCACTGAGTGTCTAGTTCCTGACTCTGGGAGTCTGGATCTCTAGATGCCTTGAAATCGCCATTTGTATCTCTACTACAAACCTTCCTAATCTTGAGCTACCTTGAATGAGTTTCTGTTCTGTAATCATTGGTACTTGATGAAATGTATTATTCATCTACCAGCTTGTCTAGTTCTGGTTATGTTTTGGGGCATGCAAAATTTGGTTTCTGGCTTGTAGTCATGGGTTAAATTCATCCTTGCCAACCCTGTGACATGCCCATCATATCCTCTGGTGCCTTTCTATTCTAGCACTATCTAAGCACTAACATGAGAATGCTTTCCTTGTCTGAGGTTATGCCCAGAAATTACAGCTTCTCAATTACAACTCTTTCTCTGGCTCCCCTGGGTAACTCTTGCCCATTTCAGCCTAAGCCAGTGGTTCCCAAGACTGGCTGTGCATTAGAATTACCTAGAAAGCTTTTAAAAAACTATTCATTCCTGGATCCCTCACCCAAAGATTCTGATTCATTTGATCTAGAGTGAGGACTGAGCATCAAATTTTCTAAAGAAAATTTCCTCTAATAGAAAGCCAAGGTTGAGAACACTTGTCTAAGCAATTGTACAATCTCCTTCCTTATCAGTTTAGCATGCAGCAAAACTCCTGAAATGGTGTATTGGAGTTTGGAATGATTGCAACAAAGGAATTTTAGCAACAATCCAGTCACTTAATTTCAGATTTAAAGCACTAGCCAGATATCCTCTGCAAACTTAATTTTCCACACCCACAAGAACCTCCATTATGGCCCAAGATGATTGCTGACACTTGGTTCCCTTTTGGCTCAGATGAACTCAATGCCTCCCATCAGGGAAATCTAAACTCTGGTTGCCCTGGGCCCTCTATTTTTCTGTAACTCTCGGGATACCTCAACATCTGTCTCCTTCTTTGTTCTGAGTTCACAGTCGTTTCCCAGGTGTGCCCTCTCCTGGCCCAGATTTTTGCAAATCAATTCTGTTTTACAAAATTAGAGCTGCAGTCAGTCAAACTGTCTAAACCTTATAAAACTAAGTTGGAAAGACCCAAGCTAGCAATTCTGGCCCATGTCTCTGGCCATCTGCAGACATCCTACCTACACACACACACACACACACACACACACACACACACACACACACTCGCTCTATGTGATTCTTAGAAACAAGCAATATAGTTTTCTACTGGAAAGTATAAGTCTATTTGGTAGTACACAGATACTTATGCTGACAGCTCAGGAAGAGAGCAGGTGTTTAGTGAGATGTATGAAGCTGTTATTAAGAAAGATTGTTGCTGAAAGAGGCAGCAATCACAAAGGGCCATTGAATAGCCTACATTATTTGTCCAGATCCAGGATATTGGATGGAGTGTAAACTTTTGGGGACACATGTTAAGACAGATGAATGATATTCAAAATATCTCAATTTCTCTGCTCTCACCTGTCTCCAGGCACTGGAAATGTGTCATGATGCCCAAGGTACCTACCTACTGCTTCAGCATGTCCAAACACTAGGGATATTCCTGCTTCATGCCAAGTGAGGAGCCTTTCCTCCAAAGGGCTGTTATTCTGGGAGGTCAGCATAACTTGATGTTCCCACCAAATTTAGAAAAGGAGCAGACCACAATTATTATGGTTACATGTCCACAAGATGCAAAACATTGTGCAGGGCAGTTGAAATTTTTTATTTAATTCAGTGGTGAGCAACATTTTTTTTTTCTTTTTTGCCGAGAAACAAATTAGGAAAAATAGCAGCATTTAAAGACATATGTCCTTTTTCATAAAGAGCAAAAATAACTTTCATGGAGTTCCATGGAGATATGTATAATGTTACAAGTTAGATTCTGTTAGACTAGATTAGTACTGATTTACTGAGCATGAGAACGACAAAGTTGGCTCTGCTGGTATTTTTGAAAAGTAACACAGAAGAAATCTTCTAATTTGCCATGCCCTACATTTTCAAAGTGCTTTGGACCTCACACAGCAAGTTCATACTCTTTATCTTATATCTTTCTTTAAAACAATTACATGGATTTTAGGGCTATTTTCTTTGCAGACGGGGCAACTGAAGTTCAGAGGGGTGAAGTGAATTGTTCAAAGGCACACAGGACACCAGAGGTACATTACATATAAGATATCAGCAATATTATGGGAAAACAAAACAAATATCAATTCAATGTATGCAAAGGTGTGTAGACTCCAAAACTCTAAGAGGCTTTACTTGGAATAAATGTATTCAAAATGATGGAGGTTGTATTTTATAACTTCAGTATTACTATGAACAGGTGTTTACAGATGAGCTTTTGCTGCTTTATAAATGGCTTTTTAAATGTATTGTAAAAAAATTAAAGGGAATTTTGAAAGATAAACTTTCACCCACATTCCCATCAGTTAACTAGGATTGCTTTTCTTTTTTTTTCCAGATCATAAACTTCTTGAGGGTTGAACCAGCTCCAGTGAATC